TTTTACGGCACGTCAACACATAACTGGCCATATCGTGCCGAATGCTATAATAGGCTTATAAGTTATGTTAAACTTTGTAAATGACAATGAAAATGAGCCAATTAGATCCTAGAATACAAGTTGATCTCTTTCAAATAATCAATGATGTTTTTGATGGTATTGTACGCTGATTAAGGTAGACCTCTGAGGCACAAACCGATGGCCGAGCCAAAGGTATGTCGGCACTTGTATCGACGATATGAGCCAGATATGAACATTTAAAGGTTGTTTTTTTTTTGAAAATGAAAGCGTCGCATGGGCCTAGATCTTGAAAGTAGGCTTGGTTTGGCAAGACGGTAATCTTCTCTGGCCCCAACTAGTGCTCCACAACCTCAGATGTATTATCTCAGTAACAATATGATGGCAGTTCCTGAATATTAAAAAAACCAGCCTGAATCCCTAAAAACGTTTTGAACCGCCCTACTCATTGAAATAATTTTTTGTTTGCTACTTTTTCTTAAAAGTTTGGAAAAATTTTAATGCCATTTCTTAAAATTATTTTGCATGTTTATCAATTCATTATTTCTTCAGCAGAATTCTGGTTTTCCATCTTTTTAAAATACGCGTTCGAGGGTTTTTAAACTTGTGCCCTTGTCTTTTTTGACTCGCCATTAAGATTCATCCACTGAAGCAGGAGTATTGTGTATTTTCAATATCCATTAAATACAGTACATTACACTTATCAAACAACCCCGTATATCAAGACAGTGGGCGTCCAGGCGAGTGGTTAGGTCGTCGACCTTTCAATCATTTGCCCCTCACCGCTTGTGGTTTGAATCCCGACAGGGACTTTTGGATTATGTGGAATTTGATAACGTCATTTATAGCGCCTTGCATAACGTGCGGTACCGCGCTTACGTTAACGTCACTTCCGACTTAACATTGTATTGTTGTTTTCACTATATATGATTGTTGATCAGTAAAGGTCGAATCTGGAAACTACAAAGCATATTGTCTAGTTACTATACACCCCCACATTGTTTGGTGCCGTGAGAAATTCTACAATCACAATGAATTTACAGAAGCTTATTTCTACTAGAGAGGGCCAAGCGATCGACGTCTTATTTCTAGACAACTTGAGAAATCTAACGACGAGTTGTCACTTTCGGAGAAGTCAACCCTACTCGAAATCATGGAAGAAAAAAGCCGAGATTATCAAGAATCTCAACGATAAGATTGTTAATCATGCAGATATTGACGATTTGGAAAGCAGAATTGGTAGAGAGTGACGAATATTCAATTGATTTACGATTGAAACTACGAAAACTGAAGGAAGATATTAACCAAATCTAATAACACTGGCTGCGGCAGCGTGATCCGTAATTCACAGGACATTTACGGTAGTGCTAGAACTTTATCAAGTGAGAACTTTTCTATTCATAACCAAAGGGTGTCGTCTGATAATTCATCTTTTCACAGACTACCTAACCTGAATTTGCCTACGTTTAATGGAGATGTTGAAAAATGGCAGTCATTCTGGGACTCGTATGAGGCTGCTGTACATTTGAACCAAACACTATCTGATGTCCAAAAGTTCAACTATTTACGTTCCTTACTACAAGACACTGCATATACAGCCATAGCAGGTTTTCCATTAACTAACGAAAATTACCAGAATGCAATACATTTGTTACAAGAACGATTCGGACAGTCTCATTAAATAATAGATAGTTACATGCAGTCGCTTTTAGATTTGCCGATTCCAGACAACAGTGTAACGAGTCTACGCAGGTTTCACGACAAAATGGAAAACTACATCCGGGGTTTAGAATCTTTAGGTGAGAGTCAGGGTTCCTATGGTGATTTATTGATACCCATAATCATGAAAAAACTTCCCTCCGAAGTACGACGAAAATTTAGCTCGAGAACACGGAAATGTACGATGGCACATACAAGATTTGAGAACTTCTATCGCCAGAGAAATAAACATCCTAGAAATGGGCATAACTGACGAAATAAGAGAATCACACTTACCGACGGCATCATTATTCACCGGAACCGGAAAGAAAAAAATACCCATCTAAGAAATTTTCGCACACAAGAGATAATGATAAGGGTAAGAAATTGTGTTTGTTCTGTGAAGGTGACCACAAGTCGCTTGATTGTGAAAAAGTTAAAACACGTGAAGAAAAACTAACTATCATTAAATCTAAACGTATGTGCTATAATTGCCAGGGAAAACACCAAGTTTCAGAGTGTCGTTCTAAGTTTCGGTGCAAGAAATGCCAGCGAAAGCACCATTCTAGTATTTGTGACCAACCATCGAATTTCGGTCAAACAGGAAATGCAGGAACTGCTATTCTTCATTCAACTACGCATCAAAGATCGGACATTATACTCAAGACTGCTATCGCTCAAGTAAGCTCCCAAGACCATACCATAACTAATACAAACATATTATTTGACGAAGGTGCTCAAAGGTCATTTATTACGAAAGAGCTTGCTGAGAAACTGAAATTAAAGCCCAACGGTTCGGACACTATATCATTAGCATCCTTTGGTGGCAAATCAGAACAGTGTCGTCATATACCCACAGACAGAGTGTTTCTACACGTCGAACATAGAGAGATCATACCACTCGATGTACTTATTGTACCGACCATTGCTGTACCATTACCTAACTTGCAGAAAAATGTGAAATGTCTGAAATATATCGAAGGTCTTAAACTTGCACATCCTATTACCGACACTGACGACGATTTCGAGATATCACTCTTGATTGGAGCCGACTATTTTTGGCAGATCGTGCAGAATAAGGTTGTTAGGGGCAACGGACCTACGGCAGTGAAATCAAAGCTCGGTTATTTACTGTCAGGACCTCTTCCGGAAGTTAAAAATGCGTCGTCTGTTAGCTATATGTTTAATGTTGTAACAGCGCCACCTAATGCCACATATCTTGAGAGATTTTGGAAGTTAGAATCTATGGGGATATTAGAAGATGATACTGAGAAATCTACTTCCGGTATACTTAACGAGTATAAAGAAAACTGTATCTTGTACAAAGATGGACGTATGTTGCAAAACTGCCCTGGAAAGAAGATCATTCCGTACTTCCTTCCTACAAATTACGAAATTTGCATAAAGCGTACAGAAAACACAATTAAACGGCTTTCAACAGAACCGGATATACTTATAAACTATGGACAAATCATAGAAGATCAGTTAAAACGCGGTTTTATTGAAAAATGTGATGCAAATGTTACCACATCAAACCCTGTACATAACATGCCACATCATTATGTAAAGAAGGACTCGAACACGACACCTATCCGCATCGTGTATGACTGCAGTTGTAAGTCACGTGACCAGCCTAGTCTGAACTATTGCTTGATGTCGATACCACCTGAACTGAATGATTTAACTGGAATTCTTATTCGTTTTCGAATGAATAAATACGCCATAGCAACCGATATTGAGAAAGCTTTCCTCAACATCACTCTTGACGAGAACGACAGAGATGTGACGCGATGTAAAAAACATATAACGTAAATGTTGTGTAAAGATTATTGGGAAACCCTATTCAGCACCTGACCAACCTCCATTAACAAAGTGTAGAGTTTCTGACGTCAAAACCTTTACTTATACAGGAGTAGACTTCTCTGGAGCATTACTGGTTCGGGATAGTAACAAAAGAGACATAAAAGCTTACTTATGTTTGTTTACACGTGCTACTACGAGAGCACTTCACCTAGAACTTGTTTCAAACCTATCAGCAGAATCATTCCTACAAGCTTTCCGACGTTTCTGTAGCAGAAAATCTGTCCCTTATGTCATGATGTCAGACAACGCTAACACCTTCATATCAGCCCCAAAACAACTAAGAGATTTGTTTCACTCACTCACAGTTATAGAAGAACTCAACAACAGAGGAATTGTGTGGAAGATGATACCTAAACGCGCCCCTTGGTTTGGTGGAATGTGGGAACGTCTCATAGGTCTGACGAAAACAACAATAAAGAAAGTGCTAGGACGTTCCTATGTAACCTACGAAACTTTACAGACTGTAATCACAGAAATCGAGGCAATGATTAACGATAGGCCGTTGACATATGTTTGTTCTGGTAATTCAGATGAACCGGAAGTACTTACACCATCACACTTACTTTATGGCAGACGAATAACCAAACTCCCTTATGAGGATGTCCTTACACGTACATTCCCTACGCCAAGTGACCGATCGTCAGTTATCAAACAGGCTACGATACAAACGAAGTTAATTAACCACTTCCGGGATAGATGGCGTCACGAATACCTGACAGCTTTACGAGAACGTCATCAGACTACTGGCAAAAATGACCAGACGATATCCGTTGGAGACGTTGTATTAGTCCACGACGATGTTCCCCGCTTATTATGGAAACTTGCTGTGGTTGAAGAACTCATGCCAGGAAAAGATGGTCTTATTCGAAGTGCTAAAATTCGAACTCAAAATGGACTCACAAATCGCGCAATTGTAAAACTTTACCCCCTCGAAATGTATTAATCTAAAATTTCCAAGGAAAGGTGATCCATGAATAAGAGACTGTATTCAATATTTATGACACTGTTTCTTAATTAATAATAATTTATATGAGGTACTACAGCAACTGTAGTGTTCAAATAATGGATTTATTACTAAACTTTAAATAACATTTCGCGCCCCGAGTATGTCGGGAATTGATAACGTCATTTATAGCGCCTTGCATAACGTGTTACTATACACCCCCACAGATTCTTTCGTGTGAGGAAGCTATTCAGCTAGCTTACGGAACGTCGGTGGTTCTACTCGGGTGTCTGGTCGTGTCTGAAAAAATGCACGGAGGGGCACCTGAGGTCTTCCTCCACCAGTAAACCAGCTATACTGTGTTAGTGTGACGTAAAACCCAAATCAAACAAACAAACAATATCAAAGACAATTCATTTCAGAATTTATATGAATCTTATTTTAAAACCATTGCATAATATGATTAAAGTTTTTTTTTTCATTTTAAAGGTTGCCCATGTCCAGAGATTATTAGCAGTTCAACATTTTTGGGCAACATTTTTTCAACTGGAGGCAAGATAACCTATGAGTGTATTATTGGACATAAAATGGCCCACAAAAACATAACAACTTCAACGTGTCTAGACAGTGGTGACTGGAGTATGACCGACTTTAAAAATTTATGGTTTATCCGAAATTACCTTAAGAAAAATATGAAAGATCGCGAAATTGTGTGACAAAATTACATTATCGGTGTTTACATAAAATAAATCAAATGACAAGTCCTATTTAATGAGAGAATCAAAAATTTACCTTAAAAGAAACTGAATTAAACCAAAAATCTACTTAATATATGTATAAATATAAAGAAATTTACCTTGTTATTAAATTTTCCGAAACAGGTCACACAAAATTTGGAATATGGGCCGAAAGTAGTACCTAAGTTAACAAAGAAAAATAGTCCTTACAAAAAATGAAAAATACCGCCAAAAACAATAAAAATACACAAGAATAAAATATCTACTTACATATATATAAAAATCCGTAAATATTCACAATTAAAATACACAAATATCACAGTTCACAGTTCCAAATTCCTCCGCGTCCTAGATTACACTGTTTATATTTACAAATATCAGCTGATCACTATATGTACATGTGTCTTCGTCTAGTTGTTGTGGCGCGAAGAGCTCTATTTACAAAAATGGGTGGGGTGGGGATGGGGGTGGGGGTGGGAGGTATACCTATGTACAGATGTAAGAAATCTCTCCTACTGCTGCCTTGGTTGCCGCGGTGAGGTCTCTGTGATCTTCCTGGTCCTTAGATTGCCATTGGATCCCAGGTGGCCTCCAACCAGAAAACAGCTCGCCTGGCTCGTCTTCTGAAATCTCGTCGGGGAGCCAATTTGTAGTGGGGGGTTCTTAGTAAAACAACAGTATGTAGTGTTTACTAGATTTATTCAGGTTGTAGAAGAAACCTATAACAAAATAAAATGATTATAATACAAATAGCAAAGAGAAATATTATACAATAGAAAATTCATGAATTGCATATTTCACAATTGCAATAATTACAATATATACATTATAAACATTTCACAATTACAATTAAAATAAATATATACATACCAGGCTTTGAATAGATGAGATCTAATTTCATATAAATATATAGAATACAAATATTTCTATAAAGAAATAAATGAAATAACTTTAATGTATTTTAATGCAAAGAATGTGTTTCCACTTCGACTGCAATGAAAGGAGTGGTCAGTTACCAAGAAATATTAGCTATCCCAGAACCAAATCATCTAAAAATAACTTGCATACCAAAACCAATCATCCATCACTCAACTTGCAAAACCAGTTCAATCACTCATAACAAAAGGTACAAAGACAAACATGAACACATAACACCACAATAGATTTGGTTTGGCCTTTAAGGGAAATAACTACCGTATTTATTATAAAAAGAGAACTTGGCTTAATTTAACCTTATCTACATAAGTGCGAGGTAAATAGGGAATATTGCATGAGAATGTCATTCTGGCTTGTTGTAAAGCTCAAGATTAGGAGTCTGGCTCGTATACTATTCTTAAAGAAAATAGTTATTCGAAACTGTCTTTACGTTCTTTGCCGATGGTATATGATGAAAGAAGACGATACACAAGTATTCTATACTAGTGTATCCTTCTTATTAATCACAAAAGGTTGTATCCATTATCATTATATTAATGGCACACTCGTGCAATTATCAATATTTATATATTTTGAATATAGACAATATTATTATGGCAATGGAAGTATTGTGAAAATTTACATTTAAGCTTAATACCCTTTTTACTGCGATTGTGCTTATTTTAATTTGGTACTCATTTCTAAGCCACGTGTCTTGCGACAATCTAATAAGATTCAATGGCTCAGTAACACTAAAGTTTTTAGCACATTAGTGTTTAAGATTGAATATTGTTTAAGCCGGTGCTGGGGCGTGAAAGCTCCTTTGCCTGGCATGAACAGGCTCAATTTAACTGAGTCTCTAATTTTCATTTTTGTTTTCATTGCTTCCCTTTTTCAGAGTTTAATGTGTACCTATGTATTCTTGATAAGAATTTTTTAACAGTTAATATGTCACAGGGTGAGATAAATGTGCAGCCTGACCGGGACTCGAACCAGGGGTCCTCAGAATACCGAACGAACCATGGCTCTACCGACTGGGCTATCCGACCGCTTTTACACTATATTCCCTTAATAATGAACAGTTCTGAACAGTAACGTATGTTGACAAATACATTTATATTACCTTTAAAAAATTTTGTTGCAGAATATGAATGTCATTATTACACTCAAGAAGAAAAGGCGTTGATCTACCAGACGAATACACTTGCGGAAGAAAAAGAAATATGTGAAAGGAATAATGGTTATGTGTTTACTCAAGGAAATAACGCTCCATATTATGACACAAGCACATGCTGGTGCTTAAAGCCCAAAGTCTAACCGTTTTTCGAGATCGTAAAGTCTAATTTGTTTGTCGTTACTTACGCAACTTGCTTTTCATTTCGGATAGTTTCATTAGGATAATGTTTAAAAAAAACTACCATGGCGCTTTGCTGCTGTACTTACCAGGGTAAGTAATCGCTGGGGCAGTTTGGTTATCTAGTGGACATTTGATAGTAAGTTGTCGCACTGAATGGAGTAGCATTAATTGTAACATTTTACGTCTCAATACTTTCCACATTAACTAAATTTATAATGTGTTGACTAGATATTAATGTTTTCTTACTCATTAATTACAAAATCATGTCTCAACAAACAATATGAAAACAACCGGAGATGTGCCAGTTTTGTTACGAAAAAAAACCCGCAAAAACTTAAGAAACGAACTTACGATGCTGAATGCCGGTCACAATATGTACCAACATTCCCTTTCATATTAAAACAGTTCAAACTATATAACTTTATGATTGTCAGACAGACAAAAGACACATTAATTAATGTGCTGAGAGAAAAACAATGTAACAGTCCTTCTATTCTTTGCACATTAATTTCTTATAACGATAACCAACAAACACTATATCTCTATTTCATATTGCATTACATGTATATGTAAAGAGCTTTTGGTCGATAACATAGCCATTTTTACTCCTTGTGTAATATTAAGCCTCAGTAGGCAACATTATATATTGTTTAATAATGCTAATAAAACAATGTGAAACTGCTTATATTCCTAATGTACGATCTAACATCATCTTATTCAAAACCCTATGAGTAAGATAAAATAAAGAGGCCCAACTAACAGTAAAGGCAAACTAGGAAGCCAAAACTTGGGAGTTCTAAAGCAAACCAGAATATACTCATTTTTTCCGAATTGTGCCTCAATAAAACAAAAAAAATAAATGATATACCCAAATCATCATTATCAACGGATTTAAGACATATAATCTGCTTTTTCTTTAAGCGAATGAGGATTCCACTTATTTTCTAGAAATGGATTTTGCTAACTTGGTTCTGTTTATCACGTTTAAGTGCCTTCT